AAGGGCGTTCTGTAGGTGCGTGATTGGAGTCGCGAGTAGGCGCGTGGCGTGTCAGGGAGATGGGCTCCGCGGCGTTACGGTCTCCACGACACGACATGCAAACTGGGCTTCTAAAGGCCCGTGACGGGCTTCGCGCGTCTGGCCACGGCATGAGGACCTGGGCGAGCTGCTATCCATTTTATACTACTACGTGTCTCGGGCTCGTTTACGGTCATTTGGCCTCAGAATTTGATTCTGCTTCTTCCTGTGTGTCACCAACGAAACGGTCTATGTAATTATGTTCTCCCGGTCCATTTATTATGGAAAATAAATCCTCCCAAACTTTCCGACATGCACACAAAAAACAAGAAAAACTGGAAAAATACACGAGAAACACATAGAAAACCAAAATAGAACAAGACGCACAATAAACTATATAAACGAATAAAAAATAACGAAAGGACCTAAAATGGGGAAAAAAGAAAGGCAAAATAATAAAGAAAAATGCAACAAAAATGGGACAAACAGTCTCATCAAGTGAACTTTGTTTGAGATTGATGGTTTCTTGTACATGTTAGAAAGAACCTTCATGAGGCTTGCTGTCGTCTTTTCATTTGCAATGTTAAAAGCAACATTACGGGATAACGTCAGCCGAATGAATCTTAGAGCTTGTCTGTCAAGGAGACTCCATTCTTCCTCATCATATCCTCTGGCTTCTTTCCTGTGAATGGTTAATATATATTTTTCTGGTACATATAATCCTCCATCTACATCTTCCAAAAGCCAAAGTCCGCACCATCGAACTTTTCACTTTTCATTTTTCTTTCATCTACTGCCACCTTTTCGTCTCTGATCTGACTTATCTGCCGGACCATTTCTGATAATTTTTGTGACCTACCGTGTTTCAGAACACGTCAGTAGATAAATTTGTAGGGCTGACAAAATTGACACTAATCACAGAATAGTAACAATACACAAAAAATACTAATTAACAATCTGGGCTATGATACCAGTTGTTGGGAAAAATATGCTTAATTTTTTATGAAGCCTGATCTATAAAAGTGAAATAAAAGCGAAAAATTGGACACGCCAAATTGATAAGGGGGTTAGGCCAATAATGCCTACGTCTCCGAACCATTGCAGATATTTTATTAAGAGAAAAAAAATGCACTCGTGTTTACAGAACACTCTCAAACTCACTCACAACTCAAATACACACAGAAGTTAAAATTCTGGTTTCTTGCTCACAAGCTTTTTCTCTTTCTTTTCTCTCTCTTGGATGTTGTTCTCGGTGCGTTTTGCTTCATCATAATCCCCTCTATTTATAGATGGAGAGTACACCTTTATATTAACATTTGCCTACTCATTTTTTCAACAAAAATCAGCAGCCCCGGCTGCTGCAATTTTTTAAGAATTTTGGGTTGTCAACATTGGTGGTCGGTGGCTAATTTTAAACATCTTTCACTTGGGAGTTACGATGAGGAGAAATACGAAGAAGCTCTTCAAGGAGACACTGAGGGTCGGGAGAGACTTCCTCTTCCTCGTGAAAATCAAGATGCTGATTTGTTAGCCAAACAGTTGGTTATGAATCTGCCGATCTGTTTCTGGCGCAGGCCGTATAGAGAGTGGCCAATTCCGACCTTTACTGGGTTGGTGCAAATATCGAGTGACATGAATGAAGATAAAATAGTGAAATTTCGTGCCACCATTCGTATGTCGAGGTGGATCTGCATATTTGCTCCGCACTGAAGGGAACGATACACAGCCAGCCACCAAGATATATTTTAGTTTTTGAGAGGTCGATTGCGTTTAGGATTTGATTTTACCTCCAGGAATTCTATCCGAGTATCTCCGAGACTGAGGAATTGGCTTCAGTTAAGTGTCTACTATTGTCTGGTTAAAGATAATCAGTTTACTCGTGCTCTTCAACAAGCAAGATTGGGAGCCTCAGAGTTGCAATGATATCCAAGCCCTCTACATCTGTAAGGTGTCTCGGAAGAAGTCCGGATAGTTTTTGATCATGGCCATGGACGCGACGTTCGAGGACCTAATCACTAAAGACATGTGGTATTCGAGTTGAGGGACACGTTCCAGAGCAAGAACATCAAACTTTTGAAGAAGAGACCGGAAGATGAAAGGGCCCTACATTGGTGGAGGATTCGTACCTTATCGTTGCCAACCTCTGTTCGGCCAATCAAGATTGCACTCCCGGTAAGCAAATTCGATTACATGTTTGAGATCCCTGCATTTTGATTTCCACAATTACTTGTTCCAACTCTTTCATTTTCAACTTTATATCATACTTAATTTGAAGGACTCGAGTTCAGTCAAAATGGTGAAGAAGAGCAAACCCACCAAGGGGAAACAAAATAAGACGATATAGACCGAAACTCTTATTGCGCAGATGCGGGATGCCGCGACCTAGTCGTCCAAAGAACCAGACGTCCAAATTATCGACTCTTCACTCGGAGACGAGAAGACGCAACTTCCAAATGTTTGAACCAAAAGCCAGCAAGCGGGCCAGTGAGACGGGCGAAAGTCAGTCTAAAAAACATGTCGCCCGAACAGCGGTCCAAGGAGAAGGGTCAGTTGTTAGGTCCATCGACCGTGACGAACATGATACGTATTTCGAAAAGAAGATGCGCACATCAAACAAGACGGATCAAAGATCTATCTTAGGATTGATCCGATTAGGGCGAAGAGGAACAAACAGCTGAAAGGGATTAGAGATGATTAGTTCGTCTAGTATAAATCTGTGGCCAACCTGCGAGTTACGAACTTGAGTTGCTGACTAGTCCACATGGTGGACGCTTCGATGGTGCCGTTGATGAGCTGGGATCCTGCATCCGAGAAAGTGGCGCAAGGTCTCATGATGGTTGAGAAAATGGAACATATAACCTGTAGTCTGGGCCATGCTTTGTGCAACCACGCAGCTTCCATGGCCGAGACACGCTAGGTCGCGAACGAACTAATCTAGTTGAAGAACGAGCATGCAATCTGTGAAATACATTGATTGAAGGATGAAGTCAAGAGGGTAGACGTGCTTATGAATCGGGTCATGGAATTAAAGGGTAAGATCCAAGTGGCCAAACTCGAGGTAGTTAAGTTGATGGTCCAGATTGAGTATGTGACCAAGAGGATGAATGTGGCCGAGAAGAAATTATCCTCGGACAGATAGAAGTTGACTGCGGCTGAGCAGGGGAGAAATGTCACGATTAGGGAAAAGAAGAAGTTCGAGGACGAACTATCCAAGGGTTCATATGACGAGAGGTTTAAGAGCGTCCGAGAGTCTGGACTCGAGGATTATAAGAAGACTGAAGAGTACTCTCATGACCTCGACTTCAACGCGGTCATCACTCTCAACTGGGTCGTCAGCAATTTAGAGAGCGACAACTATTCTCTATAGGATCTAAATGACATCCATGATGTCAAGTCTGACAGGCTCGAAATTTTGGCCAGCATGAGGCTAGTAACTCTTCTTCCAGATGAGGATGAAATGACATACGAAAATCATAAACCGACAGCGGTCCTTCGAAATTGACAACAAACGCAAACACGGCGAGCCCAAATCCTGCTCGAGGTGCGAGAATCGAGGGTTCAAATTATAATGAAGGGAACTGACACGAATGTTACTTCCTGATCGTCTACTTTTTTTTGTTTTTGAACAATGTTACTTCGTGCTGGCGAACTTTTCCATCCGTTCTATTTCTGTTGTCTTATTAAAACTATAATTTCGGGACCGGTATATGCCCTT